CCCCCCCCCCCCCTTCTCCTACAAATCAAAAGGGAATGTCAATTTCTAGTTTAATCATTATCCATATCCAGTGCGAATACGTAATTGTTAATTTCACGAGTATGAGGGAATGACTCGGCATCGAGTGTCGATTAATGAAGGAGGATATACTGGGGGCCCACACAAAGGCCCAACGTGGGCCTCCTTGGGATCGCGGAAACAATCATCGTTATTAAGTTTCACCGTTCCACCTCTCTCTACCGGAGGCCTCCTCTCTTCCACGATTCTTCTTTTTTACTCCCACTCCTCTTTTTTTTCGGTTATTTTTTTTTTCTTTTCTACTTTGGGCTGAGGGATATACTAAACTATATATATAACCAAGTCGTTTCTCGGGAAGTTGGTTAAACCTTTCCGGTCGTAAAATGAAATTACGTTCAAACAAAGGGCTTGGGGTTTCTCGTTTTCATTCGTTAGGTCTATTAACACGCCGTATAAATTTACAAATGTTTCATGTGTATTAAATAATCATCGTGAGTCATAAATTAACTCTGACAATTGATCGAATTATGTTTATTACTGGATGTTATGGCTGAGATGGGGATGAAGTGTTTAAATGATTTTTCGTCATACGTAAGGAGATGAGATGAAGGCATGGAGAATGAGGGAGATGGGAATATTGAATAGGACGGTGTGTTGGGGAAAGTGGGAGAGAGGTGGACGGGGGAATGAGACTGGTCGAGTTGCAGGAACTCGGTCCATCCCTTCTCCGATTGGCGGTAGCGTAGCCAATCCGTAATTGACTCTCTACCAGGCATACGCGTATTAAGCGCACATTACGCACGCATTTACTGCACTTTGAGATTTCAGCTACTGCGCATCCATTTCGTGAACGTGTGGGGTTCATCTTCTTGAACATTGGAGCGTGTTTCACACGATGAGGGACACTCGGAGGGCTTGCTTATGAAATCATGGCGCCACGTGGGTGGAAAAAAATTAAATTTCAGGGACAGTTGACTAGACTTTCAGGGGAGCGACATTTAATTTGATTGAGGAAGGAAAAATCATGAAATTTCAGGTTTTGTTGACAATTCAAGGACACTGATTAATATGTCACTGATTTTCGGGAATTCATCCCCTAGATCCTAGGGATTCACGATCGGGAAATTCAATGAGTGCGAAATCTTGAAATTCAGTGATTTTTTACCAATTTCTAACGGCATTATCACTAATTTCCGTCAGTGACATCGTCACAAATTTCCAGAGTAATGTCATTCATTTTCAGGAATCTCTAATTGTTGGGAATCTATCAGTAAATTTTAGTGATAAAAGTCACTTGTCAAAAAATCAAAACTTTTTTGTCTCTGTGGAATTTTCAATTTTCGAGCTGCTGGATGACAAGAATTCCCCACTTCACTAGAATTTTTAAATAAAACATAAATATTCAGTACTAAATTACACTAACTTTTCAATTAATTGAAAATTCAATAAAATATTTTTGTATTTAAAGAAGTAATAATTGAAACTAAATCAAAGGGATATATTTATCGAAATTTCTTCAAACAACAGAACAATGATGAATATACTTAAACATTAAAGAATATCAATCGACATTCTTTGATTTTACAAATGAGAGGAAAGGGATAGATTCATCAATTCTTCTAAATTTTTCTGATGTTTTGAATTAATATTTACCATTTTCACTCATTTTTCCATAAAATTTTGAATTTTCAATAACGAAATCCCTTAAAATTTCAGTGGAACTCTGATGAAATCAATTCTAAATCACATGAAATCATTGAATTCACCGAAATGACTGGAATCAAATGCTTTCAACTCTCCAAAATCATTATAATCATCTCGCGGAGCAAACTGAACCGTTTTTCATCATCAATCATTCGAGATTGATCCCAGTGAAATCCACCAAATTCGATATTATTCCCCACTCATTTAAACAATGTCAAACACCCCGTTTTCCCCCACCTCTCTGATTTCTGAAATCACCGCTATAATTACGTGAAATCACCTCAATTCCAGTCATGTTAGCCCCACCGTAACACCTCAGCCCCGCGAACCCACATTTTTAATACCCGGGAAGAATTTCTAATGAAAACAAGACAAAAGAACAAGACAAATTTAATAAATCACCGACAGCCGAGTAAAAAAAGATAAATCCCAAGGAAAATTGGCTTGTAAAGTTCTCGTTACACTCCGTTATTCCTGGAACTCGAACAGGCGTTGAATTCCCGTGCGCTTTGCGGACGGTGTCAAACAATGATAATTAAGATTGCGCCATTGCCCCAGGGAGACAATCACAGGAGGCCCCCAACGCGTTGAAGTGTACCTCACCTGACCTCACAGGTTAATTAGATAATGTAATTGTCCTATAATTACAAGAATTACCCGCGCGCCTAACCTCCAAGAGGTATCACAGTGATGATGTTGGCCACGCGATTCCTTTCACCCTGTCTCACTCACTCTCATTCAAACCCGGCAATAAACATTTTCTCCCGCTCACATTAGTTATTTCATTTTCCATCGGTTTTCGCGCACCTTCAAAAGGAGATGTATATGTGTGCGCACACTTGGGAATTAAAATAATTTCCGAGGAAGATATATTCGAAAGGAATCGTTCGAGCGCACGAAGGACATGCGCCCAAGTGTTTGCGTTGGAAAAATGAAAAAAAAAAAAAAAAAAAAAAAAAAAA